CCCCAGGTGGGCGGGAACACACAAACTCCCAGGTGGGCGGGAACTCATAAAACTCCCAGGTGTGCGGGAACACATAAACTCCCAGATGGGCGGGAACATATAACTCCCAGATGGGCGGGAACATATAACTCCCAGATGGGCGGGAACACAAACTCCCAGGAGGGGCGGGAACAATAGGTTAGCAGGGATCTCACCTCTGAGCTCCTCGAACTGAAATATCGCTTTGAAGTAGACCGACGTTTTAAGAATCGTTCGTAACAAAATTCATCCTTTGATGACGTTGTCCTGTGTTGTTGGTCACGCGGTGGAGTTCTGTGCCGAGTTCCGGATCTTTATCTAAAGTTACGAGCCGTCTATATAACAATGTAAAAAAATCCGCAATCAGTAAGAATTGTATAAAAGTGTCAAATGATTGATTAAACGTTGACGGTAACAATGTATCTCCCATGTCACTTCCTGTCTGATCATCCGCAACACAAACAACAATCCTTTTATTTCATTTTTGAGTTTCTGCCCAAGAAGTGAGACAAATGTCACTTCCTGTACAGATGAAGGAGATGTATGCACACTTCCTGTACAGATGAAGGAGATGTATGTACACTTCCTGTACAGATGAAGGAGATGTATGTACACTTCCTGTACAGATGAAGGAGATGTATGTACACTTCCTGTACAGATGAAGGAGATGAATGTGTCATTTCAAAAGTAATTTACTTAAAATGATCCCTGGGGATCCCACCATGATGTTCCTTGTTCAGGCACTTCCTGTTATAGGGTGACAACGCTCTGCTCCTGTCTCCCAACCGTGCTTCTATGTTGTCACCCTTTTCTGATGGAGACTACAAGTGGCTGTGTCTATACACATTGCACAGACATGATCCACTGTTGTCACCATCAGGAAACCTGCCCTGAGAAATGCCATCACTGGTGCACGTAGACAAGACATGGCTGCAAAGAGGCTGCAGGAGATCAGCAGCAAAGGATGAAAGAAGAGTGAAAGAATGCATTTTATTTAGAAAAAAATGGCAGAGAAAATAACATTTCATCCAGAAGGGTTTATATCTACTTTAAATATACCTAAAGCCAAAACTTTTTTATGTTTCATTTTGGATTGAGTAGGAAAGGATTAAAACACGTCAAGGTTTTTCTTTTGGTACCATTTGTGTCCATTTGAGGATATTTTACTTCACTTCCTGTCTTGGAGACACAACAGGAAGTAAGAGAAAATCTCTCTACAGCAAGGGAAGCAGTTGTCACAGGGACGCGTCCCCATTGAGAGATTTCCCCCCGTATTCGTCTTCTGGTGACAACGTCAATTGTTGGATTTCCTCTCACTTCCTGTCTAGGGGACATTGGTCCCACGGAGAAATGGGGAGGATGAATCTCAACCTGACCGGGGGTTCTAATCCCTCACCGCTCAGACACTGGGCTTTAGATACGCTCTAAGATTTCACTTGTTGTATTACCAGCCAAGGCCGCGACTTCACCCACTGCCAAGGGACTACAAATCCCAACATGCTTTGTCATCCAGCAAGGGCATGCTGGTGTTCCGGTCGGGTCCGGTCACAGGTCACGGTGTCTGCAATGGGCTCCGTGACATGAAAAGTTGAAATGTTTTTGACACAGAGTCACTTTTATTGGGAATCCTACCTCATGCTGGTGATGACATTGATGATATATTGTATATTCCCCTCACTTCCTGTCACCTGACGCCGTATCAGACAATCA